TTACCTAATCCAGTGAAAGGCTATATAATTAGATCTATATAAAACAACACACCAATCTTGTAAACCGTACGTCCCGAGGCTCAGTTTCCAAGCACTTCAACTTTCATGGTTAAAGATGCCATCAGACATGCTTCAATGAGTTCAAAGTCTTATTTCACGTACCTGACTCAGCATGAACGTTATAGTAATTGTCTGCTCTGTCTCCTGGCCCTGTAACCTTATAGTCTGTTTCTATTTTGGGCTTTCTTAACTCTCACCGGGTGGTTGCCTATCCCCAGTGAAACCCAAGTCCGCAGTTCAGTTTTGTCAACCTTTCTACTCCTGCTCTGGTCTTTCATCCTGAGTATTCTGTTTGCTTATCTTGTACCTTAGGTGCCCTGCTCCAGTTCCTTGAATGGGCTCCATTGGTTCCCTGTCTACCAGTCCTCAGGTCTACTGATGTCCTTGCCCTCCTGTTTTCTAAGGACTGGACGCCTACCCTCCAGCTGTGGTTGTCTCTTTCAGGCTGCCTTTGCTGCCACATGCCTGTCAGGTTCTGCCTGTTGTTGGCACCCTCTCCTTTCTTCATTCTACCCTCAAATGTCCATTGGGCTTAGCTGCATGGAGCTCTTTGATGACTCAGTGACAGGGGATTTGTGGATTGATGGGCACTGGGGCCAGAAGGCAGGCAGCTTCTTCTTCTTTTTTCTTTAATTGTTATGTTAATCACCATACATTACACCATTAGTTTCTGATGTGGTGTAGGCAGGCAGCTTCTACAGACTTCCTAGGAGATCTGGCTTGGAAGGAGTGCAAAGGAATAGCATGGTAGCTTGCTTAAATGGGAGAGATTTGAGAATATTTATAGTTCAGTAGGAATGACCCAGTTGAAAAGGAGCTGTTGAGTATAGAGGAGAGACAACAGCTGTTGGCATACGTTTGAGAGAGCAGAGAGGTGCCGTTTTCCACTATGAGAACAAAGAGGGAACAGGAATGAGCAGATACAAGGAAAGATGCAGAAACAAGACGGGTAGGGCGTACTTACTGCCTTGATTCCCATCTCTTGTGAGGCCCAGTGACATGAAATATTTTAAGATACTTTCTACTGATTTTCCTTTTTTCTTTATACTCACCCAAGCAAGTTTCTAAGGCTTGCAAACAAGAAAATCTGACCATGACGTTGCTGCATTTCAACTCATCACACTTCCCAGCATTATTCTTTTAAATGTGAGTGCAGTTGACACGCAATGTCCCAGTAGTCTCAGGTGCACAACAGTGATTTGACAACCCTGTAGGTTACAGTGTGCTCACCCCAGGTGTAGCTACCCTGTATCCCCATACTGCTATTACGATACCCTTGACTATATTCCCCGTGCTTTCATTCCCGTGACCAACATTATTCCTAAAGGGCAGACTCTTGACTTGAGTCTATAATAAGAAATTCCAGAATCCCTGGTCCATTTGGAACCCACTACTCAAGACTTGTTTTTCCGCTATCTCTAAACAGATGACCTGGCCTCCTGCTACCCACAGAAAGTAAGCCATACTCCTTCATATTTTCCCCTTGTACCTTACCTCCTGGGAATTTCTGCTACATTCACAGGGAAAAACTTCGACGAAACCTATCAGCTGGGGGGTGCTCCTCCAATAACAAGTTTCCTGTTTTTCTTATCTTCTTGAGATGCACCTTATCAATCCATGTGATGGTTTGTGAGGCATCTTTCATTTCGGACAGAACTTATCACTGTAAAAACATGATCAAATGGAGCACCAGCCACCCTTGCACACAACCACCAAGTTTGCTGCTTGTGCTAAACTTACCCAAATATTTAGGGATGCCAACATTCACAACTGCTCTCTCTTGGCGATGGCTTATAAACTCAGAAACCAGGAAGTAAGTGCAGCTATCCAAGGCTGCCTCAAGACTTAAATCCACCAGCCCGCCTCACACCCCAAACAAAACGCAGGTGTCCCCACTTTCTGAGTTTGCAGTAGCCCGCTTCAGGCTTACGGAAGACCCGTTAGTACGGCAGTGGCTTCTCTCGTAGGAGTGAAAACCCTCTTGGGATGTTTTTCTGTTAGAGAAAACAGGTAGTAATGTAAGCTGATGTAGAAACAAAGTGGGGTACCAGGCGCATCTGGAAAGCAGGGCTTACTCTTCGCTTTATGTCGTTTCTGCTGAGGTTCGGTTCCACAGGAATGCTCTCCCGTTAGCGAGCAGGGAGGGAGGCCTGCATTCTATCGCGTAAGCTCAAGATCAAAGGAACATCCATCTGTAAGGGATCACCCCCAAGGCCAGCAGCGCGGGGCGCGTGCGGAAGGGGCTGCGCAGCTCTCAGCGGCACGCTCCATCGGGTAGAGCTGGTCACCGTCGGAGACCTTTCCAGATACAGCCCTACGGATTTCTCTGGGCGCCAGCCTGTATTCTGGTGACTTCTTTGACCGGTTTTGGCGGGATGAGAGCTATAGCCTCATGTCTTTGCTACCACGGGCTCTACTCTGGCATTTCCTGATCCATTTCGCCTTCTAAAAACTCCACTTTTTAGCTCAGTTTCCAATCCTGTTTCAATGAAGGGTTGATGGCAGTGCTACCCCCCCAGACGCTGAACGGGGGCTTCTCAGTGCTGTTTTCCTAATTCAGTAATTCCCATCCCTTTTGCCCATTCTTGTTCGTCTGCGCCTCCCAGCTGCTGGAGCCAGGCGCTCTTCGCGGCTTCCAGCGCTGGCCTGGCCCTTCTCCTTCATCCAGTCCTCGCAGGCCCTGCGCACCTGCCGCTCCCGGGCCGACTGTCCCTTCTTTCTCATCTGTTATTAAATCTCTGTCCTTCAGCACAAGTGTCCACCTCTTCTCTGAAGCTTTTCCAAGAGGCTCTCTAGCTCCGTTGCAAAGGGCCGGGCGTCCTTCTCCACTGCTTCCGAAGCACTTAGGCTGCTTCCGTTGGCTTTATTACTTCTTCTTTTTAATTTAAATTCAGTTAGCTAACATATAGTACATCATCAGTTGCATATAACACCCAGTGCTCATCACATCACGTGCCCCCCTTCATGCCCATCACCCGGCTCCCCATCTGCCCACCCAGCAGCCCTCAGTTTGTTTCCCAGAGTTCAGAGTCTTGCGTGGTTTGTCTAGCTTTATTACTTCTGTCATGGGAGTATCTATCTCAATCTATAGCGCCAGATTGTAAGCTCATACAATGCAGAGGACCCTGCCTTGTCCATCCTTCTATCCCTGTCCAGCAGAGGCTGCGACTAACAAGATTCAGTAGGTACGGAATGAATCAATAATGGGCCTTGAATGTCTAGGCCTCCCGAGTAATGACTTGCCATGGTCTCTACCATGTTAGCCCACCCCAGATTCCACCTACCATGATATCCCGTGCCCACGTATTTCAAACAAGCTTATAAACACTTGGAAAAACTTGCTTTATTATCCATCTAAATTTTCTACTCTCTGCTGTTTTTCCTTGTCTACAAATTGACCTCTTTTCATTCATATCTTTCTTCTCAATTTTAAACCTGAACTGTGGGGTGTCCATACTTCTGTTTGGGTAGGAACTTACACTGTGAAAGTAGGGGAAGAAAACCAGGAGAAGGACATTTCATGATATTATGGCCTTTTATGCTACAAAGCACCTCATTTATCCCACTGGAATAACCGGGTGAGGAAAGTTTTATTATCTCATTCCAAACCCTAACTTACCTTCCTCACGTCAGCCAGCTGATATGTGGCAGAGTTCAAGCCCAGAACAAACCCCACAATTCTAAACTCTACTGGGGCTAAGCCACAGAGTGCTCAGGGCTGACAAACTGGACTCTCGTTCCGCAGAGAAGTGTCACAGACGCCTTGCCTAGTGTCTCTGCGGACTTTCACTTCCTGTCCTCTTCCTCTGGGAACTCTTTTATTCAGACTTGAATGAAACTTTAATTTATGATGCTGCCAGGGACCTTGAGAAGGCATGGGGGTGACCCTGTCTGGAAGGGACCAGAGAAAGTTCTAGAAAGGGGATACATAAAATCATGAATTTTATTGAAGGGTATTAAAAACAAATTAAGCGACCAAAGATATGTCAGGACCTCGACTGAAGTACAAGAACAAAGAAAGGCTGACTGTGTGTGCGACAGGATGTAAGAAGGTACGGTGGCACCCGATCAGCTGTTTTTGTACTTTGGGGCCAGGCCAGCAGTTAACCAATGTCCTTCCTTCTTTCAACAGACCCCTGAACAGACCCTAAGAACAGGCTTGTGGGTGCGCAACCACAGTGCCATGAAAAGCATACAGCCTGCAGGCTCACAAGCTGCCTTCGGCTCAGGTCGTGGTCCGGGGCCCGGGGTCCTGGGAGTGGGGAGTCTGCCTCTCCCTCTGCCTGCTGGGTGGGTGAAGATGTTGCTTACATCTCTCCCCCTGCTTGTGCGATCTCTCTTTCAAATGCATAAATAAAATCTTAAAAAAAAAAGAATACAAGACAAAAGAAAAGCATCAAGTGTGACTCAGGGTTTAAGGGTGCTTAGGGTAATTATGGTGCTGCTCACACACAGTCCAGGACATGAAGGTGAACTGTTGGTGAGGCAGAGGTGACGGAATCGGGTTTGGCCAAACTGAGCCCTCTTACCAGACTTTTGTTCTTGGCCATATGAGGTGGGAAACTGCCTTGCAATCACCAGTTGTTTTTCTGCTAGCTTTGGAGGAGAAAGGGGGCAGCTGATCTCACCAATGTGTCCAGCACGGAAAATTCTCATGGTAAACAATCACTTAGAAGGGCAACCCTCTCGGGACCCTCTTGAGAGCTTTTTCTGTATCTCACTTAATAAACTTCTACCGCTTTACTCACACAAAAACCAAAAAAAAAAAAAAAAAGCAATCACTTACAGTTAAGTCATCTCTACACCCAGTGTGGGGCTCGAACTCAGGACCCTGAGATGAAGGGTCGCAGGCTCCAGTGACGGAGTCAGCAGGGGCCCCTACAGTTATGTATGTCCCGTTCAACTCAAAGGGCTTATCCTCGCCCTGCTGATTTGGATTTCTACGTCTCCTGCCCCTTGCACTCGGGTGATACGACCATGCAGGGCAGAGGCTCTGCCACTGGGACATGGAGATGGGAGGCCAGAGACCACAGTGTGCGGGAGGCAAATCGGGGAGCTGGGGAGGCAGAGCGGGCAGGTGGCAGACACAGAAGAGCCCCATCACTAGGAACGTTCCGCTGCACACTGCTGACGTTGTGGTATTGGGGTCACGAGGGAACTGCTGGTCCAGGGGGTGGGCGTCAGGACCACGCGACTTGCAGAGGGTGCTCCTTAGGGTGTCCAGCCTCCACTTCTCTGATTCTCTGCTCACCCCCTACCTTCCCAAAGTTTCGCTATCTGGAAATAAAGAACTGAACTGAAAATGAAATGAAATGAACTGAAAATGAAATGTAATCTGTAAATTTCATTCTGCTTGATTAAAATTCTCGCTCAATGCCTCAATTTGTCTTCTGAGTTATCCGTGAGGGTTGAGAGAGGGTGAGTCGGGAAGATGTTGCTCACGTGGGCTGTGGATCCCGTGGCTGCCCTCCTTGCTCAGCTGGGCTGGGCTCGGTGTCCCTCCTGGGCACCGCACTGGTGAGGGCCTCCACCCCAGCCCCGACCACGCTCTGCTTGCGGAGGGGTCTGCACCATTACTCGTGGCCTAGTCAAGGGCGGGACCTGTCACTCACTCCCGATACCTGGCACACAGGAGGCTCTTAAAGTTCCTCGCACAAACAAAAGTGCAGGGTGCGAGCCAGATGTGTAGGGCCTGGCCGGTAGTGAACTGAAAGACCACATACTGAGCCTCAGCAACCTCAAGACAGCTGGGAGGCTGGGAGCAGGGACAAAAGGAGCGCTGGATCACAATTCCTTACTCACCATCGTTGTCCAGCCACCGCCCAGCTGGCGACACCGACATCAGAGAGGATTCGCCACGTGCGCAAACACCAGGTGCCTGAGACCGCTGCGCCAGGTGCAAGCCCAGAACCAGCTGATCCTTCTGCACCTGATAAGGACACAATACTCACGGAACTCTGGGCACAGACGAGGAAGAGTACGAAAAACAAGAGTTCGCTTACGACAAGGGATTTTATTACAAAAGCACTGAAACTTTACTAGTCTTTTATTTTTCCTATTTGGCTTCTCAGAAAGGGTGGCATGGTTAAGAACATTCTTTGATGTGGTTTTATAATAGTATTCACTTCTTCTCTATTCTTTTCCATAAGGATATTCACTTTAATCCGGCTTCTACTGCGTGGCTGGTAAAGGGGATACACAGTAACGCTTTCAAGCTCTTTTATCTCACTCTTTGCTCTCCCACGCCTCTCCCGTGTTGACGGCTGGCTCTGGCTTTTTCTCAAGACTCTCTCCTTGAGCCTTTGCTCCAGGAGTTCTCTCCCCCCAAGCATGCGATCCTGGTGACCTTTAATTTGCATCTGCTCCCTCTTGCTTACCTGCCTTCTTGTCTGTGCGCTCAGGACGCCGTGCTCTCCTGGCACAATTTTTGGGAATGTTGTTTCACTAGGGGGCCGTGGTAATTGTCTACACGTTTTGGTCTTCAACTCACCAAGCTGACCTGCTCTCTGAATGTGCCTTTCTATGTGTTTCGCCTCTCTCTCCGGAACGAAGTAATTCTGCTTTTGTCTCTCTAGCCTGTGGGTCGTTTTCCCCTCCAATCTCTTCTTCATTTCATGGCCTGTCTCTTGTTCTTTCATCATGTCCATTATTCTTTTATTATAATAAGACTCTGCTTTGGCAAGCCAATAGTCAAGAGAAAGAGCTTGCTCCCTACACAGTGTTTCACACTCCTCCTGATATTTTTGAGTTATCAGCTATCTTGCAGCTGCTGTATGCACGCCACCTAGATTCCGGCAAAGTGACGTAGATAATTTTATAATGTGACTGTCTTTTTAAACACATTTAAACAGGAGCTTCCCCTCATCACTGACACTGAGAAGATATTCGGTCTCTTGTTTACTTTGGTGTTTAACAATCGTGATTTTTACTCCCATCACTCCTAGGTGAAACTCTCAGAATTGAATTACCCACCACCAAAATCAATAACTAGTTTTAAAAAATATAGTATTGGGCATTTTGAACATAATACTGTTTTGCAAGTATGGATATAGCCAAACACATTTGCCAGTGTAGACACATTCCGGGGAGGGGTCACCTGTGCAGGATTTTAAACCTAAGGCTCCTTCTCCTAGTAGTTCCAAACTGTGCCACGTGAAGATTATTTACCAAGATTTTCTTCTCCAGTGGGGACTGCTGACCTACAGCAATCCTAGGGTCTGTAGACGTTTTAGCCCAGGCCAAACTGGAAGATAAAAAAAGCAGAGGTAGATTAGGATGTGGGAGGTGTCAGAACCTATCTGCTCACATACTGAACCAGAGAAACCAACTGTTTTGGTCAAGGCCAAGGGCATGCCCCTCAGAAAGAGAGATCCTGCTGCGAGGCAGGACTACTTCCACCAGGGAATTTAACACCAGCATCTAACCCTTTCATAGCAACAGCGCGCACATCTCCCGTGGACTCAATGGGAACCATTCTGAATCTGGAATCTGGGCCTGGGAGAGGGAAGATGTAGGCTCCTTGGTGCAGCACTGGGCAAGCACGGCTCTGTCGGACTGCTCACTCTCCCAGCCTCCTCTGTCTTCCGAGGGGCTTCCAGACTCCAGTGGTCCCAGTCCCTCTCTCTGCAGCTTCTTGGTCCGGGCCCTCTCCGCCTCTATCAGCACACACAGCATCTCTGCCTTCCAACCTTCTGTTCTGAAATTCTGTTCTATGTGATCGCCCACCCCTCTGCTTTCCTGCCTTATACTGCTACTCATCCTTCACCCTAAATCCATTATGAGACCGCTCCCTGTTCAACCCTTGGGGTGGGAATTTGTGGTTACCCTTTTTTAATGGGTCAGGCTGATGGCAACACAAGTGAAGACTGCCAACTTTTTATGTGTCATCCCTGGTCTAAGCTGAGTTTACTGTGAGGTCGTGTTGAACCCACTGGGGATGCCTGGCATTTCATCTCTGGCCTTTTGTACTGTTTATGGCAAAGAGCATGGGCTTTGAAGCCTGACAGGGCTATGTCTGAATCCTAATTGCACGGCTTCTGAGGTGTGTGACTCTGGGCAAGTAACAATCTCGGTCAGCTTCGTCATCTATAAAGTGGACATAGAAGACACAGTCTGCTTCTCAGGGTTATAAAGAACAAACGTGCATTAGATTAAAGAGCCCGGCACAGTGCTTGACATGCGGTAAGTTCCCAGGAAATGGCACCTGTCTGTCCTCCACAGGTCAAGCCCCAGACTCTATGTAACTGATTTTTGCCTTCTTCTGAACACTTCACTTTTTTTAACTCACTGGAAAATCAGTGAGGGTTTACACTGTGATACCTATATTCCTCTATCATTTTTAACATTTTCATGCTGAAATTTAGACTCTAAAAGGGTGGTAACTTATCATTTACATCTACAAATATATTATTAGAATGAATCTGATACCGAATATTGGATCTCACGGACTTCTTGGGCACATTCCTATTTGCCTATGTATACCTATTTTGGTATTTAAAAAATACAACCATCTTACTTTTATTTCTCAGTACGTAGAACCTAGCAGAGTGCTTAACATTAGAGTATGTGATCCCAAGTTCTCAAAGTTAACGATTTGTTGATTACCTTATCACATGATATTTGAGCATCTTTCTCTGGTACACTCCCTGTAACTCTACCTTTTTGCTGAAACATTTGCCAGTCTTCCTTGAGGTACAGACATGTTTGTTTTATACGGCTGACCTGGGCTCTCACACTGGGTCCTACCTGTGTACTTTCACTGCATTCTCATCATTTGGACTCCTTAAGGTCACAGAACAGTTTTCAACTTTGCATAAACACTAGTTGAACAAACTGTGAGGTTGTGTTGAGAAAGGGCCATGCCTCATAGCAAGGCACATGAGGACAGTATTCAGTGCATGGGGGATCCTCACTGAAAGCTTGTCCAACTGAAACGGGAAAGTTAGGGGGGAAAAGCTAATTTCAATTTCCGTTTTCAAAGGAGACACACAGAGTAAAAACTGCCTACGTTGTGGGCTCAACGACAGACCTCCCTTTCTAAGACAGATGCAAAGACATCCAGTAAAGCGAAATTACGGGGTTTGTCATTCTCAGTAGCTTGCTCGGAGTTTTAACGCCGTCACTGTCGTCTTTCCACCATTGCAGAAAAGGCAGAGCGGAGGCTCTCTCCAGGAGAGCACAGCTGCTCTTTCAGAGGAGGGGACAGCGACCGTTCCAGAACCTTCCCAGGTAGGGAGCTTCCTTGGCACAGCTCCCTGACTGGCTGGGGCGGCGGGCCGGACGGAACGAGGAACTCATGTAGCAGCTGTCCCTTCAGGACAACAAGTTTCTACTCCAGGCTGTAGGTTACAGATGAACGAAAAGCGCATGATTCTCTAGAGATACTCGCCTCATGTTTTATAAATCTTGTGTTAGGGAAACGTCAAGTGTCCACGTAATGAATGACGATGCGAATTCACTGTTGGCTGCGTGGAGCCGGGGGACCAGGTGGAGGTGGGTCAGCGAGCGCGAGCCAAGTCAACTTGGTCACGGGGGCACCCACCCACGGCTGCCCGCCCCCCTCGACCGAGGCTAGCCTCCCCCGTCTGCGGGGCGTCGGGAGTCCCGACCTCGCCTTCCGTCCCCTGCAAACTCCTGCGCCTCCTCGCACGTGCAGCCCTCCAGGCCTCGTTCCCCCACCTTCGCCCGCACCTATTCCTCCGCCCGAGGAGGCGGCGCCCTGCCCCGAACCGCCCGGCGCGCCGTCGCAGAGGGAACCCCGCTCCGGGACAGCGAGAGCTGGAGCTCGCGAATACCAGGAACTCAGTACTCGGGAAGGTCCGCACGATTTCCAGGGCCAACGCCCCCCGTGACTGGGTGCGGGAACAGAAATGCCCTAGGGCGGGACTCCTCCCGCAGGGGGCGCAGCGTTCATTACCGTCCTCCCAGCCCGGCTCGCGGAAGCGGCCGCACGCCGAGCCTCCGCCAGCCCCCAGAGGCGCTGCTCTCCCTTTCCGACGCTCGGCAGAGCGGGGCGACGGATTATGACGTCACGGCCAATGACGAGCCGGCGCTGCGGACGCTCTAGCCCGCCCCGCGCAGGGCCGGCGCTCTCGCCTGCTCTGGAGGACCGCACGCGGTTTGCGGGTCCCGACGCGGAGCACCGCGGGTGCAGGGAGGCGGGCTCGGCCTGCGGCCGCTCGGTCACATCCGCGGAGGCGCTGCTCTCCGTCGCTCCGCACCCCGTGCGTCATGGACCGCGCGCGCTCCGGCTCCAGATTCCAGTCGGACTTGGACTTCTGTCCGGATTGCGGCTCCATCCTGCCGCTGCCCGGGGCGCAGGACACGGTCACCTGTGTTCGCTGCGGCTTCCGCGTCCCCGTGCGAGGTGAGCGGCCTGGGGCTCGGCGGGGGGCTCTGATCCGGAGGCCCCGGGGCAGAACCCGCGGGGAGAGCGGTGCGGGCGGGAGCTCACTACCGTGCTTCCCGCCCGCGCAGACTTCGAGGGGAAGGTCGTGAACACCTGCATCGTGTTCAACAAACTGGGGACAGCCGTGCCTGTGTCGGTGGAGGAAGGGCCCGAGTTCCAGGGACCCGTGGTGAGTTAATGAGCTCCAGGACTGGCCCCATCGGGAGGGCAGTGAGGACATGCAGGGGTGATTGCTGAGGTCTGGACGGAAGCAGAGGAGTGTGACATGTGATTCCCATGAGCAGCCAGGGGTAGGATGGGGCCTCCCTGATCCCCCCCCCCCCCTTTGCTGGCCAGGTTGACAGGCGCTGCTCTCGATGCGGTCACGAGGGAATGGCCTACCACACCAGACAGATGCGCTCAGCCGACGAGGGGCAGACGGTCTTCTACACCTGTACCAACTGCAGGTGCGCCCCCTTCCCTGTCCCCCTGCCCTTTCTCAGCCTGCTGGTTCACGGAACATCTCCACTGATTTCCTCCTTGTACTGAAGAAACAGCTATTTCCTTGGGTCCCATCCCTCTCTACAGTTCAGTTAACAGGGAGGTTTGTGGTCTTTTTATTTTTGAAAATTAACAGTTTTCTTAATCTTTTTATAGCTAGTGAACTAAGCCTTTTAAGATATGTAAAAGGCAGTGAAAACATACAGAAGGCAAGTACTGCTTAGTGGTCAGCATGTTGTGTTGGAATCTCCCACTGGTTCGAGGTAGTCTTCCTTTTGTGAGAATCAATCACACATCACTTCAAGAACCGGGGAGCTCCGAATGGCTTGGGGGCACCTGGGTGGCTCAGTTGGTTAAGCGTCTGCCTTCGGCTCAGGTCATGATTAGGGGTCCTGGGATCGAGCCCCATATCAGGCTCCCTGCTCAGTGGGGCGTCTGCTTCTCCCTCTGCCTCTGTCCCTCTCTCCGCTTGTTCTCTGTCAAATAAATAAAATCTTAAAAAAAATAAATTCTCGTCCTTTTATTCTTTTTTTTTTTTTAAGTAAGCTTCACATGGAGCCCAATGTGGGGCTCAAACTCAGGACCCTGAGAACAAGACCTGAGCTGAGATCAAGAGTCGGATGCTTAACGGACTGAGCCACCCAGGCGCCCTCCTCCTTTTATTCTTAAAATATGTATTACATTTAAGTATGTTAAATATGAGTATTTATATTCTGTGCTGGTAATTCTGACACCCATAGTTGTGGGTCTGATGCTGCTGTTTGTTGTTTCTGCTGACTGACTCATGGTGCTTTTTTTCTGTTTACTTATTTACTTATTTACTAGTTATTTGTTTAGTTAATGTATGTATGTATGTAATCTCTACATTGAATGTGGGGCTTGAACTCATGATCCCGAGATCAAGAGTTGCATGCTCTTCCCACTGAGCCAGGCAGATGCTTCTCGTGGTGCTTTTTCGATTTGTTTTTTGGTGTTTGACTATAAACGCACATTTTTTTAGAATTTGAACTATGGGAATTCTTTTGAGTCCTGGGGTGAATTCTATATTCTATATTCTATATTCTCAGTGTTTCTGTTTCCCATTCAGGTGCCTTGAGACACTCACCAACCTGGAATCACTTTATGTTTTGTTTTATTTTATTTTATGATTTTATTTATTTGAGAGAGCGAGAGAGAACAAGCAGGGGAGAGGGAGAAGCGGGGATGGGACTTGATCCCAGGACCCTGAGATCATGACCTGAGCCAAAGGCAGATGCTTCGCCAAGCCACCCAGGTACCCCTGGAATCACTTTAAATAAATTCTTGGCTTCAGGTTTTTTGGAGCACATAGGTATTATGAATTTGGGCTGCAAATCCATGTAAGAGCCAGCTTAGCCCTAGAAATTCTCAGGGAAGATAATTTTTCTCCCTCTACCTAGTGAGACCATCAAATTCCACTTCTGCAGGGTTGAATTATTTTTTTCTTGTTCACTTTTACGCAGATGGGTAGCCCTTTGGGAATCTCAGATTTATGCAGAATATCTCCTGTCAGACATTCTGGGTATGTCTCTGGTTCCTGTATGCGGCTGTCCAAACAACAAGGGACCCGTGGTAGCAAGGGCTTCAGTTCTGGCTTAGCTGTCTAGATTACTGGCTGTACATCGTTTTACCCAATGTAAAGACTGCCTTTACTTTCTTGCCATCCTATTGGCAGATTAAAAATATTTGTAGTTACCTTTGAGAGTCTAACTTTTTCCCCCCAGTCTGATGTATTAATTTTAACTTTTTTTTTTTAAGATTTTATTTACTGAGAGAGAGCAAGCACAAGTGGGGGGGGGGGTGGAGGGGCAGAGGGAGAAGCAGGCTCCACGCTGAGCAGGGAGTCCAATGCGGGGCTTGATCCCAGGACCTCAGGATCCTGACCTGAGCCAAAGGCAGACGCTCAACAGAGTGAGCCACCCAGGCGCCCCTAACTTTTTTTTTTTAATGAACAGAAGTTTTTAATTTTTATAAGGTCCAGTTTATCCCTTTTCTTTTTTCCTTTTTTTTCTTTAATGGCAAGTGGCTCTTTGTGTCCCTAGATAGCTTTTGCATATACTTTATAATTCATTAGATGTATTTTTAGAACGCGTATATTTTTACTTTTTACTTAAATTCAATTAATTAACATATAGTATATTATTAGTTTCAGAGGTAGAGGTCAGTGACTCATCAGTTGCATATAACACACAGTGCTCATCACATCACGTGCCCTTCTTAATGCCCATCACCCAGTTACCCCGTCCCCCCACACCCTCCCCTCCAGCAACCCTCAGTTTGTCTCCTATAATTGAGAGTCTCTTATGGTGGAGTGCCTGGGTGGCTCAGTTAGTTAAGCGTCTGCGTTTGGCTCAAGTCATGATCTCAGGGTCCTGGGATTGAGTCCTGCATCGGGCTTCCTGCTCAGCAGGGAGTCTTCTTCTCCCTCTGTCCCTCCCCCACCGCTTGTGCTCGTTCTCCCCCTCTCTCTTGAATAAATAAAAATCTTAAAGAGTCTCTTATGGTTTGTCTCCCTCTCTGTTTTCATCTTATTTTATTTTTCCTTCCCTTCCTCTATGTTCATCTGTTTTGTTTCTTATATTCCACATGAGTGAAATCATATATTTGTCTTTCTCTGATTGACTTATTTCACTTAGCATAATACCCTCTAGCTCCATCCACCTCGTTGCAAAGGCAAGATTTCATCCTTTCTGATGGCTGAGTAATACTCCATTGTATATATGGACCACATTTTCTTTATCCATTTGTCTGTTGAAGGGTATCTTGGCTCCTTCCACAGTTTGGCTGTTGTGGACATTGCTGCTATGAACATTGGGGTGCAGGTGCCCCTTCTTTTCACTACATTTTTATCTTTGGGGTAAATACCCAGTAGTGGAATTGGTAGGTCATAGGGTAGCTGTATTTCCCAGTTTTTGAGGAACCTCCATACTGTTTTCCAGAGTCACTGTACCAGCTTGCATTCCCACCAACAGTGTAGGAGGGTTCTTCTTTCTCTGCATCCTCGCCAACATCTGTCGTTTCCTGACTTGTTAATTCTAGCCATTCTGACCAGTGTGAGGTGGTATCTCATTGTGGTTCATTAGATATATTTTTAGTCCAGCAGTTTTAGTTCTCTTGAATTTGAAGGATTGTTTAGGGGAGCTAGTCTTCCACAATGTCATAAAACTTCCTCCTTGATTTTTCAAATGAATGTCTTATCTAATACTGCTAGAACCTCTGTGCTTAAATATAATGAGTCCTTTCTTTCTCCTTAGGTTCCAGGAGAAGGAAGACTCTTGATTTTTTTTCTGGGCAACTCAACAATTCTCCCCCTTCTCTTCTTTGGATGGTGAGGGATATTGGGTTCTTAGATCCTTTGTCCATCCTAGTTGAAATGTTTTGCTCCCATAGAAGGAAATTAATCATGTGGGGATTAACATTGTCCCTAGAGTACACCTACTCTAGTTGAGTTTCCTTATCAAAGTTATATTTTTCTATATGAGCCAGACATATGTATGTTATTTATAATCTGTGTTGTTCCAAAAGGAACTTAAATGAATTTGGAGATATATTTGTTCTTTCAATAAGTATATCAGCTACAAAAATATATATAAATTATATATGAGAAGGAAAAGAGGGGGAAAAAAGGACAAAAAAATGGAGCCAGGAATGAGACTAATAGAAAAAGTAATTAAAAGTATTCCATCACTAAATCGATTTGGTTTCTGAGTTTAGGGAAACAAAATGTAGGAATCTGGATAGTGGGAGATGAACAAGTAATTTAACCAGATCTCTTTAACATGTGAGCTTGCAGAACAAAAAATCTGATACTAAGGGACACCAGTATGTGCTTACTAAGTTGGACTTTTTGAAAATTGGTTTTTTTATTGGTGTTGAAATAAATGTAATATATACTCATTGTAATAGAGTCATACGTAGAAAGGTGGAAAGACGTAAAAATTACAAGGAATCCCACTTCAGAGAGATTCTTTTTTTTTAATGGGTTTTACTATATACATGCTGAGTTGTATCTTGCTTTTTATCAGTTTGACCAAAAACTTTGGGAAACACTTTGTAGTCCGGACACAATAAACATTCAGATTTACTCTGGGAGTTTGTGTTTTTGCGTTCCTAGCCCTTTACAGGTTCAGAGCTCTCAAACTCACGGTCTGGTCCCCCCCACCCCACCTCGGCCACGTGGAGGGGTGGGCGGGCGTCGCTGCGCCTGTCAACCGTTCCACTTGACTCCCCCGCCCCCGGTCTGAAACCCGAAACAAACCTGTCGGTCTGTCCAGCCCGCTTCCAGCCGCCCCTGACCCCCAGCACCGCCTGGGCGCAGCTCGGGCTTCTGGGAGCGGCGCGCGGGCCTCCGCCCGGGGGAACCGGGACTCCCGGGGGGCCTCCGCCGAGCCTCCCCGCCGACCGCCCAGCGCTCTCCGCCGGCCCCCCCCCCCCCCCCCGCCCGCCCCTCCCGTGCTTCTGAGACACTGGCAGTGTTCTTATCAGAGCGCACGATGCCCCTGTGGTCACTGACCACCGTCCCCGCCGCCACCCCAGACAGTGGGCAGTCTAGGGCTTCGGTTTCACGGACGAGACGCACACCTGCGCTAGTTAGTATCTCAGTCTTGCCCGCCAGACCCCGCCCCTCCGCAAGCAGGCTGGGTGGGGGCTCCGAGGCGGGGCCTGGGGACAGTCCGAGCAGACGGCGCATGAAGCACCCCGCCCCAACGCCCGCAGACCCCGGCAGGGCCAGAGCCGGGTCCTGATCAGGTGCGTGCACCTGCTGCTGGGGCCCGAGCTCCATTTCCACAGGAAGCCGGGAAACCCAGATGGGCACTGCGGGCTGCTTACGGCTGCAGCCGCGGGGTGGTCTTCCCAGTCCCGTAGCCCCGCCCACGGCCCCGCCCCAGCCCCGCGCGGCCGCTCCGGTCCGCCCCTCCTGCCTCGTCTCCGCTGCGCGTGCGCGTGCGCCTGCTGCCCGCGCTCCACACCCGCAGTGACGCCTGTTCCGCCAAGTCTGTGGCTGCCTCTTGCGGCGCCTGCGCACTGTCACGTGACGGCGGAACTAATCCGGCTACGCGTGCGCTTAGACGCCCTTAGTGCCCGGGAAAGGAAAAGGGGAACTACGGAGTGCGTCACACCCGGAAGCAGAGAGCCGGAAGTGGGGTTGGACAGGTTATTCCCCCGGGTGGGGAAGCGGAGGCCCAGGAGGAGGGGAAAAAAGAAGGTGGAGGATCCTGGCTGCTACTCTGAACCCGATACCGATTGTCTTAGACCCCAGAGACACAGAAAGGGAAGGGCGTCTCCTCCCCCTTCTTCCCCTCCTCCCTCTCCTCAGCCTTAGCCATGGCCGAGGCAGGGGCCGGGCTGAGTGAGACCGTCACTGAGACAACGGTTACCGTGACAACCGAGCCTGTGAGAAAGGCGGGGGGGGGGTGCTCCTCGGGGTCTTCGGGAGAGGCCGGGAGGGAGGGGCTGGGGCTCTGGGAGGAGCGGGCTGGACTGCCTGGGGTCGGGAGAAGCGCCAAGGGTGCGGGATTTCCGCAGTGGCAGAGATGGTGCAGGAGGTCGGCCAGGCGGCATGGAATGCGGAGTCAGAGTTGGGGTGCAGGTGCTGCTGCCCGGGGCGGGGACATGAGATAGGGAGTCAGAGTTGGGGTGCAGGTGCTGCTGCCCGGGGCGGGGACATGGGATAGGGAGTCAGAGTTGGGGTGCAGGTG